CACTTTAATTTTTTGTACCACAATAACTTTCATTCAATGAACACATTATTCTATTGTCCTGAGGTAAAGTCGATAGAACTCTGATCATATTTTTTCATTTTTTTTTTTTTTTTTTTTGATTCTTAAAACTCGTTTGCCCGCGGGCGCCCATGCTCCCCTTCACATTTTTATTTTTAAAATTGATTCTTTCAGATTTTTTCATATTATTTTTTTTTTTTTTGATTCCTAAAACTCATTTGCCTGCGGGCGCCCGTGCCTTCCTTCACATTTTTTTTTTGTTTTTGAAAATTTAACTCTAGTTCCATTATTTAAAAACCGTTTTTTAATTTTTGATGGTCAGTTAGTGCCTCATAAATATTCATTATTTCATGATCTAATTTTTGTAAATTAAACTGAGTTTAGGAATACTGATGTTATAGACTGCAGTCTTTAAGATTTGTTTTTAATACACTTTTTTCATAATTTTATTTTTTTGATTCTTAAAATACATTTGCCTGTGGGGGCCCATGCTTCAATTCCCATTTTTATTTTTTAAATTTCAATTCTATCATATTTTTTTATAATTTTTTTTTATTTTGTTTCTTACAATTCATTTGTCTGTGGGCTCCCATGCCTAACTTCACAATTTTTTTTTGAAACTTTAACGCTAGTTCAATTTTTTCAAAACCATTTGTTAATTTTTAATGGTGAGTTAGTGCCTCATAAATATTCATTATTTCATAAGCTAATTATTGAAAATAAAGCTTTGAGTTTAGAAATACTTATATTGTAGACTGCAGTCTTTTATATTTGTTTTGAATGTACATTTTTTTCATACATTTTTTAATTTGATACTTAAAATTCAATTGCCTGTGGGCGCCCATGCCTCCCTTCACATTTTTTTTTTTTATAATTTAACTCTAGTTTAAATTTTGATAGAAAGATAGTACCTTATAAAAATTCATGCTTTCATTATCTAATTATTGAAAATAAAGCTTTGAGTTTCGGAATACTGATATTGTAGACTGCAGTCTTTAATATTTGTTTATAATGTACGTTTTTTATACATTTTTTAAATTTGATACTTGAAATTCATTAGCCTGCGGGCGCCCATGCACCCCTTCCCATTTTCATTTTTAAATTTATACTTTATAAATTTTTATATATTTTTTTTTATTTTGATTCTTACAACTTATTTGCCTGCGGGCGCCNTTTATAAATTTTTATATATTTTTTTTTATTTTGATTCTTACAACTTATTTGCCTGCGGGCGCTCATGCCTCCCTTCACATTTTTTTTTTTATAATTTAACTCTAGTTCAATTATTTCTAAACCATTTTTTAATTTTTGATGCTGATTTAGAGCCTCATAAACATTCATTATTTCATTAGCTTATTATTGTAAATAAAACTGAGTTTAGGAATAATGATATTGTAGACTGCAGACTTTAATATTTATTTTTAATACCCTTTTTTTGATATTTTTTTTTTACTTTGATCCTTAAAATTCATTTGCCAGCGGGTGCCCATGCCCTCCTTTCCATTTTTATTTTCAAATTTTTTTAAAAATTTATTTTTATTTGGTTCCTTATAAACTCATTTGCCTGCGGGCGCCCATGCCTCCCTTCACATTTTTTTCCATAATTTAACTCTAGTTCAATTATTTCAAAACCATTTTTTAATTTTTGATGGTCTGTTAGTGCCTCATGGTTTTTTATCACCTTTTGGTGCAGTATAAATATTCTATTTATTTTTATATCATTTTTTCTGGTAGGAAAGTGAATAAATTGGGTACTTTTATTGTCAAAATACCGTATAAAATTCACAATAGTTTTCAAAAGCCGCACGAAAAATAAAGAAAAATGAAGGAAATATGGAAATTATATTATTATGTTAAGAACAATATAATGTGTTTACCAATGTTTATCAATATATTGTATATATAAGTATCATATTTACTATTTATATTTAATCCAAATAAAATTATCAACTGCAGCTAAAATTGGAAGAAAAGTTAGCTACCTAGTTGTAACGTAGGTATATGTATATGGATGTTTATTTACTGCCTATATACCTATATATTATGTACGGAGGCGTAGAAGGGCAACTATAATCATGATATAAAAAATTGTATCTCGTTCATACAACATAACTTCTTGTAAGCACAAGATAATTTCTCGTTCGTACCACCAACTATTTTGTTATGACAATATAATTTTCTTGTTGGCACTAGATAATTTATCGTTTGTACGACAAAACATATTGTTATAACGGTATAATTTTCTCGTAGACACTAGATAATCTCTCGTTTTCACGACAAAACAATTCATTTTAAATAGGAGGTTATAAAAGTTAGGTCTGTTTAGTTTGGTAGGTGGTAGCTGCTATAGTGTTATTGACGACAAGGCGCGGGTGGATCGACAACATAACATAGTTTAATGCAGCACCTAGCACCTACCAACTAATTAAGTTGAATTTACCTAAAATACTTAGTATACTTAATATATTCTGTGGTTGTTACCTCCTAAATACTAATTTTTTAGTTATTGCAATATGGAAACCGATAAATTCATTAAACACTATTTTCATTTAGGACTTAGCCATAAAGAAATTTGTTTACATTTAGAAAACCATCAAGTCTATATTAGTATTCGTACTTTAAAAAGAAAGTTGAAAAAGTTAATTTGTGTAGAAGAATAAATTTTTCTCCTTATAATGACGTTTACCAGTTCATTGAAACTCAAATTCATAGTTCCTCCCAACTTCATGGATACAAATGGAATATGGATGCATAGAAAATGTCTTAATGTCGGATTAGTTGTTACTCAATCAATGGTTAGTGAAAACCTACATGTTATTGATCCAATAGGTATAGAAGTCAGGAAAAAAAAAATTAAGAAGACGAATGTATAACAACAAAGGTCCAAATTTTCTTTGGCACACAGACTGTTACGATAAATTAAAACCATTTGGTATAGCAATTAGTGGTTGTATAGATGGATTTTCCAGATTTGTAATATGGATGGAAGCAGTCCTATCTTGTAATGATCCAAGAATAATCAGTGGATTCTTTTTTAATGCTGTTCGGGAGTTGGGTGGTTGTCCTAAAACAATTCGAGCTGATGCTGGAACTGAAAATAGACATGTAGAGCAAATTTTTCATCAAGCAGACCATCATTTATGTATGGAACTAGTCCTGCCAATCAAAGAATAGAAGCTTGGTGGTCAATACTAAGAAAACATAATAGTCAATTTTGGATGAATTTATTTCACAAACTTCAAGAAGATGGACACTTTTCTGGTTCTTGGCTAGACAAAAACTTAATAAGATTTTGCTTTTTGGATTTAATAAGGGTAATACATAGTGTTTTTATGTCAATATTCAAATATAAATACATGCATAAATGTAAAAAAAAAATTATAAATAAATATTAATAATTTAACAATTAATTTTTTAGAAAGAGTTGAATGATGTGCTTTGGAATGGAATTCTCATAAAATAAGAAAGTCAAAAAATAGTATTTCACCGAGTGGTCGGCCAATGACTATGTTTAAAATGCCTCAAAATTACTCATCTGAAAATTATTTGATGTATGTTGATGAAAAAGATTTAGAGGTATGTGAGGTGATCCAGTAGTGTTATCAAACTGTATTTGAATTTTAGTGCCAGTAATCATATCAGCACTTGTGCAAAATCTAAGAAAATTAATAATATTATCTTCTTTAGTTTCTTTAAGATACTTTTTTAAAAAATTCAATGTTGTCCTTTGAGTAATTTCCAAATCAAAATCTTCAAATTTTATTAATCTTAATACATTTTTAGAAGTCGTTTTCAAATTATTATATATATTATTTAAAAATTCAATAGAAATATGTTGTTCCCATGCAGCTACTTTCAATTCTTCTACAAAACAATCAATTATGAACATTGGCTTTTGAATAAGTTCTTTGTGTGCAATTTCTTCCAATATCTTTCTAAAGTTATTTTTATTTGCAATATTTCTACACCCTAAATCACTTAAAATATCTATTACTTCATCTGTATCAATATTTTCAAAATCTACTCATCTCTTTGAACAACTATTATTTGGACATACTGAATCTGACTTAATCGAAGTATTCTTACAAACACAATGTGAAGCTGATAAGCATATTTTATCAAACGCTTTAAAAGATTTTGAAAATATTTAATTAATAATAAAAAATTAATATAATTTATTGATATATTTTTTTTTTTTTTATTAAAAATGTTTATTTACAATCTATATTTAATATAATACAATAAATAAATTTGAGTAATAGAATTTTTGACATGAGTTCACATGATAAGAGAAAATATCCATTGATATTACTCTTCAGTTAAGACTAGGTAGAACAGAAAACATAATACATTAAGAGAAAAGAATAATAAAACTAGGTAATAATCCGAGTAATAATCAGAGTTCCAGTTTATAGACCGATGTTAGACCTTAGGATAAGAGGTCTCTGGACCATTTTCTTTTTAATCTACGAGTTGTATCGGGTAGCTCGGTAATGGATAGATTGGCGATGAGGGGTTTATTGATATTTAAAATTTAAATTTGGGTATAGATAATAGAAAATAGTTAATGCCAAGCATATTCATACTTATATCTTTTTTTTTTTTTTATTTTTACAAGAAATACACAATCTATACAATTAAGCACAATAAGTATATATGAGATAAGGGTAACAAAACATTATGGAGTTACGTGAATAAGAAGCCACCCATCAGTAGCACTTAGCATGTTTATTATGTGATTACATAACTTGTTAGGATTAAATTAGATGATCCCTACACCATTTCCTTTTCAGCCTGCGACGGGGATTTCCAGGAGGTGACGGGATATGTGAGCCTTTTATTAGAGGATTTTCATGGTTTTCTAATTTATTGTAAAAATGTTTATAGAAAATAGCAGCTTCTTCTTCTACTGTTTTTATACCTAGGTCTTTGTGGAGGGTCATGTTAGAGACGAAGGGTGGGGCATTTGTGATTTTACGAAGGGTAATATTTTGGAAGGCCTGAATTTTGTTTAAATTTGTTTTTTTTGCCGATCCCCATATTTGGATTCCATACGTCCATATCGGTTTCAGAAGAGATTTGTATATTTGAAGTTTTGTTTTTAAAGATGTGAATTTATTTTTTGAAAGTAATACTTTTAGAGAACATGAGCGGGCATTAAGTATTAATCTTTTTTTCCTTATATGATTTTTCCATGTTAATCTTTTATCGAGGTTTAGTCCTAAGTATTTAACAGTGTCAAGAGCAGGGATGGGTAAATTATCTACAGTTACATTAGGGCAAAGTATGTGTCTTAGTGTGAAAGTCGCGTGAATGGATTTGTTGTTATTTAATTTAATTTTTCATTTGGCATACCATTCTGAGAGTAGATTTAGGTGGGATTGTAAATTTCTTGAAGCAATTAGTGGATCATTATGTACTGACAATATGACTTTGTCGTCAGCATAATCAGCAACAATAGTATTTTGTGTAGTAGGTTGGTCGGCTGCATAAATATTAAATAAGATAGGAGAAAGTACACCTCCTTGGGGTACTCCTGCACTAATTGTGGCTATATTTGAGGCGGCAGAACCTTGACGTATTTGAAAATGTCGGTCTGTAAGATATGACTCCATTAGTAGAAACAGTGAAGGAGGAAGAAATGTACGAAGTTTAAACAGAAGACCTTCGTGCCAGACTTTGTCAAATGCCTGGGAAATATATACTTATATCTTAGAATATTTTTATCATTTCAATTGAAAGAAAAATTTAATTTTTAAATGTATTACAACTCATACAAATTTGATTATGATTATTAAGTGTTAAACCTACTACCTAATAGTTTTGTCCTGATCACTAAACTTACTCAAAATATATTCTTTTCGATAAAAATATTTTTAGTATTTTATAATTAAACTATATTAGGTTATCTTCTTAAATAAATGTTTAATTACCCTTGTTGCTATTAAATTTTTTGTGTGTGCACAACATTGATGGTGTTTTGGTAATACATATGGTAAATCATGGTCTTCATCATTTAGAATGTTCAAGTTGAATGCGTCGATTTCTTCTAAATCATTAACAACCGTATCGTTCACTAGCAATGTATCAGTATATAGTCATGTAGTCATGTAAATAACAACTACTTTTGTTAATGCTGCAACTAAAAACTATTTAATAAAACAAAAAATAAAAATAAACAATACACATTCTTACTTTGACTAGTTCATTTTTTGTTGTTCAAAAAATCTTCTAAAACGTGTTGTTTTGATCTGATTGTTTTAAAGAACTACCAGCATTATGATACATCATTGCATCTCTTTAAAGTGTTTTTGTTCGCTACATTATCGATGTGATCAATTTTCTTTAATATAGTTGAATGTTGTGTCTGAATAAAATTAAATAATATAACCTTTTACTTAACATTATAAGTTTTGATAAATAATTTACCTATATTTTTTGATCAATGGCGCAACTGGGATTTATTTTTGAGGGGACAAGGGGTTATTTATTTATTTTTATTTTATATATACAAGAATACTGGGCCCCTCTGCGATAATTATGTGGGGGCCCAGGAAAATACATAATATGGAATAATAAGATTTATAATACATCTTAACTTGAAATTTGACTTTTAAAAAGCTGTGTGCCACTGTTTTTGATGTATTTTTGTAATATATAAGGTATTTGTGTGCCTGTGTGGTATTTAAAATTAATTTAACACTCAAGATATTAGATGGGTCAACTGTCATAGGCAGCCAGGCAGGTATAGAATTAACATTGTACTTACGCTTGAATGTTTTCTTATATTAGAGTTTGAACGTGAATCCACCTTGTAACACTTTGTATCGACACAACTTTAACACTTCACTTTCAGCTTCTTGAAAAAAAATTATCCTCAATGACTCTTAATACTTTAAAATATTTTTGATAATTTGGCCAGGGTAAAATTGGTTCTTCTAAATCTGCAACCTTCGGTTGAAGAATCACAATCACTCATTGTGTTACTATTTAAACAATGAAAACAAGAGTAATAGAGTATACTGTTGATGCAATACAATCATTAACAATCTGTAGGAACGTCAAGCAGACCACAGCGAACACGATACGAATAATACGAACCCAAGTAATAAATATTACAATAGTGTAAAACAGCGTAGGGGGCTATACATGCAATATTGTAATAGTATAACTGATTGTACGCCAATGAGTAATGAGTAATGACTAATGACTAATGACTAATGACCAATTGGCAATTGGTTATTCGTAGTCTGTACACAAAAATAATATTATTTTCTAATAAAATTATGAAAATAAGATAATACCATGTTCCACATATTATTATGGTGCTATAGCCATATTCATTTATTTATAGCAGAATCAGTTATCAGTCAATATCAATGTTTATGCTTTATATTATATTTATAGCTTTTAATTAAAAATAGATCGCACCCGCATATTATGCAGTCTCCATACACAGAACACACATACGGCTATGTTGTACGGGTACAACATAGCTTAAGTTCCTATAATATTTCGCTATTATATTGACACCTGTAGAGTGAAATTTGAACATAAATTTTACATTTTGTTGAGTTTTGCAGATTAAATATTTCCGAGTCAACTTCAAATCTATTCTAGATGGTTTACGGCATCGTTAAGCTATATTTTGGCAGAAAAAAAATCACGATTAAATTAATTTTTGACTAGTTTAACGATAAAAAAAGATGTTGAAAGTGACGTTTTTGTTTCATCGAATTCAAAGCAGAAAGATTGAGTATTCACCATCCACACCGTGTTTATATGGCTATCTCCCAATATGCGGTCTACCAAAATGGACGTGGTCTACCGTAATAATATTAAAAGTATAAAAAAAAACTCAAATTTATTAAGAAATTCATTTATAATTGTTATACTATAAATTACATTAAAACACAGTTTTCAAATAGCTATTAAAAGTATAAATAAAATATGTTTTGATATATTAAGGATCTACAAAATTATCCACAAAGCATAATTTGATATCTCTAAGGAAAACATCAAAAATGTTATCAGTTTTATTTAATCCTCACCACTAATACTCCGCTAAGTACCTCTCTAAGAGGTCTTTCATTAGTACCACACATTTTCTTAACAATTTAAAGTCTAAGAGGCTTTCAAAGACTTTCAATTCTTTGCGTATTGGCACCAGTTTCAGGGTCCACAAAATTTGTTGAATGATTAACTGTTTCATATACATAGCATTTTTCAGATAAACCTTTATATCCAAACCAGGAATCAGAATGAACTGTATTGTTACATGATAAAATATATATTGTTATGAGCAATTAAGATAAAACATAAATTGGTAGATAATAAATAATTTATTAAATATAAATGGATTCCCAGCTATAAGTAGAACACTATAACATTGATAGACCGTATACTATACTCATATATTTTATAGTTACCTAGTACACAAAACGGAGGTAGACCGCATATTGGGAGATAGCCGTTTATATTTTTATGTGAACGACGGACTATTTGTTGCCGCAAAAAAAATCTGAATTTTGTTCAATTTTTTTTCATATAGGTCTTATATTGACACTTGTAGCGTGATATTTGAACATAAATTTTACTTTTTATTGAATTTTGCGGTTCCAGTGTTTCCAAATGAACTTCAAATCTATTCCAGATAGCTTACGGCATCGTTAAGCTATATTTTGGCAGAAAAAAATCACAATTAAATAAATTTTAAATAGTAGAACGATGGAAAATAGTTTTGAAAGGTGCGTTGCTGTTTCTTCGAGTTTAAAGCAGCAATCTAAGATTGTATTGTGACCATCCAAATCGTTTTTATATTTTCGTACGAACGTCGAAGTATTCTGTGATACATAAAAATCGTAAAATTATTCATTTCAATGTTTGGAATTAAGTTCAAAACATTGTGTTTTGACCTTCTAAATTGTGTTTGTCTTCTCATGCAGTTGGTAATCTAGCTGTGGGTGTCGTTGCTCTTAGATGAATGTTTGTACAAATCCATGGAAATAAACTTATGAGAATATAATTATTATAAAGGTACCTGTACGGTCTTCCCGTGGAACTGACATTGTCGTTCGGGTGACTATCACTTTATATTAGACAACGGCCCTACCTTGATTCGGTTGTCATGGTTGTACGTTTGTGGCTGATCTGTATGCATACATGTATGAGTATGCCTACTTTAATTTAGCAAAACAAGAACCTTTCCACATTATTGAGTGATTGAATGTTATCCTAATATACTGTTATCGGTTTGTCTTCATAGTTTATTTACAAATTTTGAATATTTGAGTGACTGGGTTTTGTCTGAAATTATCTCTCGCCATACCATATATAACTGGTGGCCGCAATACGTGGCCACGGCAGGTTGCTGCAAACGTGATAATCATTTCAAACGATAAAGCGCCGTTGCTCATGGTGTTGATGGGTGGTACGATATCATTGAAATAAATGTGTTAGAATCGGTACCACGTACGTGCTTCCGATAGAACAAGCGTCGTTCTTCGCTTCCGCCACATCATTGCTCAGATCTGCGCGACTAATCCGGACCACTTAAACGGCCGCTTGAGGTGATTGTTAAGTATTACTGCTGCGGGGACCGAGGGCACATATCACACGCATTGAAAAAGTACGACTGCTTTATTAACGCACGACGGCGGAACACATAATGATGTTATAATAGTTATATATATACATATTTTATATAGGTTATCGCCGATAACATATCGTCTACTTAATCGATAGCTTAATTATCGTTGTAGAATATAATATATATATATATAACAGTGACATCAACGCATCACACTCGTCTTTTTAATTCGAGCATAGCCTAAAATATTAAGCTTTAATAAAGAATCAACGATGAAAAGAGTATAAGCGTGTTTTTTTTTTATATCAATCGTGATCGAACAATTTGTCGTTTGTGTTTACTGCGCTCAAAGACTGTGTGCAGCTTCACATATTGACTGTTTGATGGCAAATCTGATATTAAATTAAAAAAAAATAATATTCAAACAATAATATTGAACTGAATAAAATTAAAATTTTATAAAAATGTATCAATGTTGGACTACAGTTTGTTGTTTTCCACAACTGGACTGCATTTTTTACCGCGGTAACCCTTCGTCCTTCGTATTATATTCCCTCTATTAATTCTTAATTTATTTACTCAGGACACTACTGAATACTGTGTGCCGATCTAATACGAGTGCGTCATGCATAATATGATAGCGCCGGAATGCCCGCATCAGCATCACGTGTAAAGTGCTTAGACATTTCGGTGATCACAAATGGTTTTTCCCTCTTTTTCTTGTTTAGTCATTAAGTAACATTGTTTAACAGGTATAGATTTTACATAATATTTGTATGTATAAAATAATTACTTATTACACATAAGTACGTTTTATTATGTTGGTATGCCGTTATCCTCTGCATTATAAGGCTTAAATAAGGGAATTCCAGTGGGCCGGTTTCATAAGTAAATAAAAATGGACAGAACCGTATCAATGGTTATCATTATCGATATCATGATTATTATTTTTTTTAAAATTTCATGATGTCACGGCGTTGACATTAATTCATATTTAACGCGTAGCTGAATACATCGTAGTACCGTACATATACAAATAAAGTAATAACGTATACCGATCAAATTTTACGACTTATCAATATTTAGTTATCACGGACTTAAGGTTAGGTTAGGTTAGGTTAGGTTAGCGTTAACCTAACGGGTACAGATTGAATATATATCTTATTAAAATTTTTAAAAAAAAAAACGGACTTCAGTACATTTAAATATTTAATACGACCCAAAACTCTTGCTATCAGTCACCATTTTCTCACAACTGCAGGTGTAGTTGGCCAATATTTGGTACCTACTGACGATTGGTGGTTTTTTCTTCTTTATTTCTTTCTAAGCCGTCTTAACGGTTTTTTTAATATTTTGTTCAATAATAATTGGTCACTGATGAGTAATGACTAATGACCTTCCCGATGAGTGTCGGTGGATATGTCACAAGCCAAAATACTGCCATACATAGTAATAAACTAATAACTTAAGGTATATAGGTACTTAACAAATATAGTAGTTGGAACAATTTTCACACAACTTACTTGCAAATATTTTGATTGTTGGTGTACTTGGCAAGTACTGGGAAACCGGATAATAATTGATTATAGTTAATAATATTAGAAGTGACCACTTAAACCATTAACACACAAACGTTCAAAATGCCTATAGAAAATGTTCAAATCATGGCGGTCAACGATATGACTGGAGTAACTACTGTAAACATCAATACAAGACAAATAAATGTAAGTATAAGGCTGCAGGTAAACTATGTACTTCTAAATGTCATCAACTACTTAATTTTTTCCGTGCATGATAACTTAAGTTGCAAAAATAAAATTAAAAAAATAGTTAATAATTATAAAAAAATTATTGTAAATTATTAAGATAACAAAAATGGTTTTATTCCATTGTAATTGCCCATCCAATGAGCTCTGGACATTCTATGCAATGCCTGGGCAAAGTGTATAATTGTCCACATTGTCCATTGAAATTTGGCATTGTATACATTGTCCGGGCATTGTACTACAACGCCCAATTATACACTCTGACCGTAACATAAACATAATGTAATGTATTATATTATATTTATAGGAATATATTTTAATGTAATAATATTGTACAATAACAACAAATAATAAGTGCTTGTAAATTTAAAACACATACACTTTTACATTTTATTTAAATACTAATTATAGATGTAGTACCTACTCAAGTAGACTTTCACTGTCCGAAACCGTGACGACAGAAACACAAGAAAAAAAATATAACTTAATGCTATATAAACATTATATTTATTAATATAAAAACATGAAGTCTACGGCACTTCTTCTGATTTCAATAATACTAAAATAATATAATTTAAAGTAGAATGATTGTATTTTGATCATCCAAATTGGGTTTATCTTTTTATGTGAACGACAATCTACGCGTTGATGCAAAAATAATTTGAAATATTTAATATTTTTGTCACTTTTGAATTGCGGGACATTGATGTTTATATTAGCACTGTACTATCCGTTAGGGGTACTCGACGATATACATATACTATATGTTGTTTTCAAACGCGGGTGATATCATTTTTGATTTATTAATAGTATTATTTTTGTTATGAACAACAATATGTTCATTCAATAATTTTCAAATGAATTATTGTATTTGTAATTGTATTTAAAAAAAAAAATGTAAGCCACTTACGTTACGACTTGGGCTACCGAATGACACCGGCAGCAAACAACTAATCTTTGTACTTCTTTGTGGGT